TTCCATATTTTTGAATATATTCAGTAATTAACTAAACAAAATTAATAATATTATTATCTAATTATATAAATATGAGCATCAGGAATTTTTTTGGGCGTAACCCTCTGGTGGGTCGTAAGATCGTAACCTTGCGACCCTGCCATAGGGTTACACCCAAAAAAATTTCCTGATGAAATACTTACGCCTACATCATTCATTGTAAAATCTAATGCAGTTGCATAGTATTGCTTAACCTTTCGAACCTCTGCTTTTGTCATATTGTACTCTTGAAATGATGAATGTAATTCTTCTTCAGTTGCTAAAAAACTAAAAGCACGTTCTAGTGGTAAAATGCGAGGTTCTTTTTTAAAAATATTGAAAATTTGCTGATTATATTTAGTATAGTATTGCAAATGTGCAAATCGTAGCCACATAGTTATCTGATTTATAAGATTTGCATATGGTTGCTACTGGAAATGGACTAAAGGTATCAACATTCCACATAGTCTTTCCATGGGAAATTGCCAAGTAGCCCATGGTGATCCTGTTTCTTTAATTGATTTCATTATATGTAAAAGATAATGAAAGCTGACAAGAGCTGCTGGAAGTCGATTTGGATCTCTTTGATAGTACTCACTAAGTTATTTTAAATGAAATGTTAATATTTAATAAAAAAAATTATAAGAAATTATATAACAAAGGACTTACTTACTTCTCATAATAATGAATGAATCTAATAAAAAGTGTATAAATTTCTTCAAGTTCTTGTCTAGAAATAACTGGTTCAAGACATAGCTGAGTTGCCCTAATAAAACTTGCCCACCCATCTATATGTCTATAAAATTTGAAATAAATGTAATAAATATTAAAAAAAGGTAAATAAAGTTAAAAATAAAATACCTTATAGGTAAATAATTATAGAGGAGCGGAAGTGAATACAAAACTATCTAGTTATACCAATCTTCTACTTTAAAAGCAGAATAATGTTTCTGAATATTAATAGGAGGTCTTCCAAATTCTATAGGCATTGTTTTTCGATTTTTTTCAATTATTTTTGTAATTTCGTTCCAGTTGTTAGATGAGATTTTATAATCAGTATTTCATTAGTAAAGAACTTGCCAATAAAATGGCAAAACATATGCAGAGCAATATTCTCAAAAAGTGCATGCATAATGTCTACTAGAAATGATGCAGAAAACTAATTGAATGTAATTCTAATAAAATACTACGACCATTTATACCTATTAAAATATTACATTAATTAATATAGTTAATATATAGTAATTACGTTATAATTATAGTATAGTACATAAAATTACCTCGTTCATGTTGTATTTTATTCCTAAG